TCAGGAGCTCGTGCGGTGGTAGCATCTTTGTGGGGCATTGATGATGAAGCTACTCTTGAGTTCATGAAGGTGTTCTATTGTAATCTGAAGAAAAAGAAGAGTGCAAGTTTGAGTCTTCAACTGGCGATGAAACACATGATGAAACACAAGGAGTTTAGCGAACCAAAGTACTGGGCACCATTCTTTCTGATGGGTGATGACGTCACAATATTTTGAACTTTAGGCTCATTTATTTATGTGTACTCAATTATATGTTTGTCAGAACTTTAGAATATTTATATCTATTTTTGGATTTTGCACGGATTTAGACTCGTCATGTAAGAAAGCAATTGAATTATAGATTTGTAAAGTACTATTATTTAGTGTGTTGGGCATGCGACTATACGATATAGTATGAACATACTACAAAGAGTGTAGCACAAAAGACTCTTTGGAAACATGGATGGAAAACTGAATAACATTTCAGGCCGTGATTTTCTTAATATTCAGAAATAGCAACTGTGATTCAACATTCATCAAAATTTTTTAACGGCTTACTGCAGCTGACATTGTGTTTGATGTTACCAGTTCTTGCTCGACAACGACAAAAATACCACGTCGAAACGGCACTATTCATAATTCTTGTTATATCATGCGAAAACCAATTGAGTACGTCAAAACAAACTTATGTTTTTAGATTCCGTTCTGCTAGGGACAATTTTGTCATTGGACGCGGTGGTCCCATTACTGTGCAACCGAGTATTAATAAACTTGCTTCAGAAAATCTGCGTGCTTATATAGTTTAAAGAGGGCAACATTTTTGAAATTAGTCGTATTTACAGAATTTTTATGTCCCACACAAGATCAACATCGAATGTTTTTGCACAGTGGATGCTTTCCACAGTTTTGTTAGCAAGGGAAAAAACCCTAATTTCGTATTCATGTTACGTATCAACGATTTTAGGTTATTCGTTTTCATTACAATCAACTTTCATAGCTATGCGATACGCCAGAAAGTGTTTATCTGAACCCATAAATAGACTAGACCCTGACATCAGGGTGTACTCGTGCCCTAAATGTGTTGAAAAGTGTTGTCTCATTTAAAACTTTTCTTGTGTTTGACCAACCATGTAATATACTGTCTTTCTCAATTTTCAAAAATAGTTCGACCGAGTTGACGCTCTAAGAAGGGTCTGGTTTAGATGTAAAGAATAGTGCTACCAAAGGCATGCAGTTCATCTATACTGATAAATCACAAAGTGATTTGAAATCAAACTATATTAAGAGAAAACATTTGTGAAAGTAACTCCTTGTTGATTACTTTTCATGTAATATCTAGCAGTTTTTGAAATCTTTAAAAGCGTAGAATCAAATCGTTTTGATCGTTCACTCTGATAGTTCGCGTGAAACATAGTAAGAATATTGTAGTAATTTAAAGGTCAAGTATACTACAGTATAAAAATCAGACAGCTGGGCGCCATGTGGCGAGCGATCTTCGCAAACAAGAAGGCCCCGCTCTATAACCATTCATGATCGACTCGGCAATGTGATCTTCATTTAGGAATACTCATCTGTGAATAGCATTGTTTTCTTTAACCAGAAAAGACAGAATCCCTCATCAAATTAGAAAATATCTATGCAACTCAGAATCAGACAGCCACGTAGTCAGCTACAAAGTATCGGTTTATATCTCGCCAAGGAAAATGAACTATTTGGCTCGATACACCAACCTTTATGACCTAAACCAATGTCCTAATACATGCTCTTACACAGATGAATGTTTTGGAATAACAAAAGGCCTCGAATATCAAAGAATTACTATAAAACTACAGTAAATCCCGGGCAGTTATTGCTGTTCTATGATACGATTGTTTAGAGTACTGGTTCGTATGTAGAAGAGGTGTCGATCGTATAACTTGAGATCTCTTCTCCTTTAACAGAAAACTTTCCGCTATCCCAAATACTCAGATGAGTAATAAGCGGCAGAGTCTGACTTCAACAGTCGATAATTCCGAGTTTTGAAGAATATTTGTTCAATTCAAAGTGCGTGCTGTATGACACATCCACGGGCTTCATTTATCTACGAAGTATTGATTTATATCTCGTTAGTTTAAAAGATACAGTAAATCCCGAGCAGTTTTGCTGTTCTATGATACGCTTGTTTACAGCCGAGTTCGAAATGTGATATTTCGTTTAGAGATCGGAGTGCGATCGGGGACAAAGGTACACCCGAGTTCGCAATGTGATATGCATTCGGGACGCAAAGGTCAGCCCGAAGACAAAGGTCTCACATAGAAAAAAAAAAACAAAACTAGACTCGCTGCATTTTCTGACTCGTGACCCGGCCAAGGGCCTGGTCACGAGTAATAATCCAACCACAGCACTGAGAGATTTCATCTTCTTGTTGAAAAGCTGCAGTGTTAAGTTCTGTGGAGATCTGATATCATAAACTATAGCGCTAGGTAAGAAATGAATGTTACCAATTAAGTGAAACTGCTTTATTTATTATTTTGCTTACTTTTTCTTTTTTTTTATGATTGCTTTAATTCACACCGAGTGTCATCTCGCCATCTTACACAACTCGGTCTTGTTTAAAATAATCAGCTATTCTACATTACTTTCATCACTTTCATCGCCATTGTTTTTAATACCTATTTATTGATTCTGTTGTATTTTCATTTTTTTTAAATGTGTTTAGTTGTTGCTTTATTTGCACAAGACAAACCTATGACTTTATGCTGGTTCTTATCCTTCACTTAATAGGCGAATACTGAGTAAATCAAGAAATGTCTATCACCTCACTCTTCCAAGCGCACTTTCAATAGTATAAAAATAGTATAAAGTGGACTCGTAGCGAACGTCGAGCTCACTGCAAAAGTTTCTACATGCCATTTCACGGTTTCATTGATATTATCGAAACGTTAATATTTTGCTTTATACTTTTTCTTTTTTTATGATTCATTTTGAAAACTTTTATTGCTTTAATTTCCTTCTCATCAAGTGTCATCTCGCCATCACACAACTCGGACTTAATTGTCCAAAATAATTCTTCTACATTCACTTTCGTCACTATCAAATCGCCATTGTTTTTATAATATCTATTATATAATTCTCGGTTGTATTTTCATTTTGTAATGGGGTGTTCCTGATGTTCAGTTGTTGTTGTATTTGACCAAGACAAAGCTATCTGTTGATGGCGGTTCTTATCCTACACTTAGATAGAAATAAGTAAAACATGAAATTTCTACCACTCTACTCTTCCATGCGACTAATTATTTAAATAAGTAAGTGATCTCGTAGCGAAGGTCGAGCTGATAACATACAAAAAATCCGAATAATTGTCGTACTTACAGAAATGTGACAGCTCAATCAGCAAGAATTAAGTTTTATTACACGGTGAAGTATCTTTCCACAGTTTTGTCAACAAGGGAAAAAACCCTAATTTAGTATTCACGTTAATTCAATTCAATTCAATTCATTTTTATTTTACACACATATATACTTATTTTACAAGGAATATTATTAATCTATTAAAGATAATTATGGGTACTTACAGTGGCTAAAGGAGCTTAGCTTTCGAGTTAGCCACTGCCTATTGATGAAGCGAGCTTATAGGGCTCTTATTAAATGAAATACAAACATTAGATTTAACAAGAATAATCACATGATATATACTATAAATTTCTTCAGGAATATAAATATAAATATACTAAAGAAAATAAAGAGGGTTTTACTTAAAAAAATATTTACAAATATTACAATTTTTACAATTTCATTTATGGACTGATTAACCAATTTAGTTGAAATAGTCTACTAGTCCATATCAATATATAAGGAGGAGGAGACTATTTTTGATAGCTTAGTAAATGTTGTTTAAACTTCTTGCTAAAGGTTTGAGTAAGATAGCTGCTTGAGGTGAGTGGGAATGGTTTCCCAGGTTTTGGACAATGAGAATTTAAATGTAGCTCTACCATAATTTGTTTTGATTTGTGGTCTAAAGAAGTTGAAATTACAAGCTAGACGTGTATTGTAATTGTGAATTTCTGAGATTTTCTTTACATAATTATGAAATATACTTGGTACAAGTGATTTGTTTAAAGTAATCCTATGTCCAAATAAAGCAGTTTTGAATTTGAGCAATTTGTCAAAGGTAAGAATATCCAAGAGATTAAAAAATGGGATAGCACTTTCTCTTTTGTGAGCAAAGAAAATTGCACGTATACATTTGTTTAGTTTAGTTGAAAGTTTAGTTATTCTAGATTTAGAGGCATTACCCCAAGACAGAATACCATATGTCAGATAGGGATATATTAAGGTGTAATAAAGCTGTTTCAGCATGGGTRATTTTAAGTAATTCCTAGTTTTATAAATTATGCCTACATTTTTTGAAATCTTGCCTAATATATGTGATTTATCTGTTGATCCCAAGCAAGGTTTTTGTCAATATATACACCAAGTAGCTTGATGTGGTCTTTTTCAGTTATATTTGGGATATTGATATCTATAGTGTTTTCTTATGATATGATTTTATAATCATGTAGTGAGTTTTTCAAAGGTTACCGTGAGTTTATTAGCTGAACAGTAGTCAAGCAAGCTTTTGAACTCAGCATTCATAACCAAGTTTAATTCGTTGGAGCTTTTAGAAGAGAAAAAGACAGTAGTGTCATAAGCAAATGATCTGAAGGAAAGTTTATCAGAACAATTATATATGTCATTTATATATATGTGATATCAAAGAGGCAAGATTTTGCTGTGACTCCGAGTTTCGTGCTACGCACTCATCAGACATTCCTATAATCTAGATATATATACATGGTATAGAACAAAAGGCTAAGTGCTAGGCTATTTACATACAATACGTGATAGTTATGCTAGAAACAATAGGTGTGAAGGTAAAAATTACAAAGGAGAGTATACTATTAATTAAAATCGCGTAGGTGTGAATACAATAGKCTGTAGAGGTGTCAAGTGTTCTTCAGGTAGAATTTGTTTTCGTGTGGGCATTTAGAGATGAGTTCTGATCTTTTGTTTAGTATATTGTCGTTACTGTGTTWAATTATCATAAGTTTTTCTGTAAGGCAGAGGTCGCATCGTTTGGATATGTTGTTGTAGGGTCTTGTACGGCCGATATTGTCCATTTGATGTTGAAGTCTTGTTTTTTGTCTTTTAGTTGCCAGATGTACTTAGAAAGTTCGGTGCTGTTGATGTGTTTCTGTGTTTAAATGTAGATTTGTGCTGCGAGAATCTTTGTTTGAATGTTCCTTCCGTCAGTCCGATGTAGTTCTTGGTTGTGTTGCTGGTTGTGACTTGCGCGTTGTAGAATATACTGGGAGTTATAAGCATTTGTTGTCTAGCGGGCATTGATCTTTATTGCGGCAGTTGCATTGTTTTTTCTTTGGTTGCGTTGGCGTTGTTGTCGGCGTTTGTTACTTTCATGTTGTGTTTGTTGATAACTGTTTTCATGTTGTCCATACAGCTGTAGCTGACTTTTACGTTGTTTTTGTTGAAGAGGCTGTGGTATTTATGCTGGTTCGGGAAGTGCTTAGATATAAGTTTCAGGAATGTTCTGCCGATGTTGGTCTTTACGTTCTTACTGAAGGGAGGGTTGTACCATATAATGTTTCTTTGTCTGTTGCGTCGGGGGCGTGCTGGTTGATTGTCTTTGTTATATATTAGTGTTCCAGAATGTCCGCTGGCTTTCAGAGCAGTTTCGTAGATAGGTTTGGCCTTGTTAAATTCGTGTTCGTTGCATGAGTTGTCGGAGATGCGGCGGATGATGGATGCTGGAAGTTGCTTTAATATGCTAGGCGGGTGGTTAGACTTTGTGTTGATGTAAGTGGTTCGTTGTTCGGCTTTCTGTAGGGGCAGTAGGTACCTTTTGTTAGGTCGAAAGTWACGTCCAGGTAGTTAACAATTTTCAAGTTAGTTTGTATGGTGATGTTAAGTCCATGTGTCTTGTGGTGTCTTTTCTGGTGCGTTCAGCTTGTGGTCCGGAGATGTTTCTGAAGATGGCAAGTCCGTCGTCTCTGTAAAGCCCGATGTTGTCTTTCCCGTATGTACATAGGTCGTTGAGGATGAATAAGCCTACAAGCTCGCATATTTCGGCTCCGTCGTAGCTGCCCATAGTGACGTCAAATGAGCTGTTGCTTTTCTTAATCCAGGCAGTGTTACTGTTGAAGAGGAGGGATTTCCGTGAATGCATGATAATGTCAATGTCGCGGTCCGTAATGGTAGTGAATTGTTTGGCGAAGTTGATTGCGTCTGTAAGGAGTTTCTCATTGATGGAGGGGTAGAAGTTTTCAATGTCAAATACGGCGAAGGTGTGTTGATCTTTGTGTTGAATAGATGAGAACCAGTTAATGACGGATGATGAGTTTTTCCACTGGTTAAGGCCAGTCTTCTGTCTCACAGTCGTGTTAATGTTCGCGAGGATTTCTTTGCTGATGCGTCCGATTTCACTTTTTGCAGGGTTAATAAGTCTACATGTAGGTTTGTTCTGGAAGTTGTCTTTGTGGTCCTTGAGTGTTATAAAAGCCTGTCGTTCAGCGCGGTCGTCAATGTTCAGATTAGTAGCAATAGCTTTAGCATCTTTGTTAATATTAGTGATCATGTTAGGGCTTGCTTTCTTGTATGTCGATGTGATATTGTCCATGAGAAGTTTGTCGTGTGTAGCATTATCTACTTCGTAGAAGTTGGTRGTTTTGTCAGCAGGTATGAAGGTTTTCGTAGAGTTGTTTATTTTCCTGATGTCTTGTTGCAGATGGTCTTGGAAGTCGTCTCGTATTTGTCTGAATTCGATGTTCTTAATCATGTCGTATACGTCAGTTTCAAAGTTGTTTARGTCTTCGTTCTGTGGAGGGCATTTTCTTGACTTGAAACCAAAGTTGTTGCTGTCAACGTTGTCGTCGTCGCTGTTGTGGTCGGTTTTGTTCTTATCTTTGTTCAGTACACGTGTTGTCCCTCCTAACGACGTGTTTGCGAAGAGCTCTATTCCCCTTGACCCCACTATAATTTTGCACATTTTGTGTTGCATATTTGGTGTATTTAAGCATTCAGTACACGTGTTGTGCCTCGTAAACACCGGGTTTGCGAGAGCTTTAATATTCCCTTTGACCCCAGTATAATTTTGCACGGTTTGCATATGTTGCATTTCAGTACACGTGCTGTGCCTCGTAAACAACGGGTTTGCGAAGAGCTTTATTCCCTTTGACCCCAGTATAATTTTGCACGGTTTGCATATGTTGCATTTCAGTACACGTGCTGTGCCACGTGAACAACGGGTTTGCGAAGAGCTGTATTCCCTTTGACCCCAGTATAATTTTGCACGGTTTGCATATGTTGCATTTCAGTACACGTGCTGTGCCGTTTTGTGTTACATAYTTGGTGAATTTAAGCAGTTTGGATACGTGCTGTGCCTCGTAAGCATTGGTTTTGCGAAGAACTTTATTCACTTCCCCTGCACTGTTAATTCTGCACGTTTTGTGTTGCATATATTTGGTGGCTAGTAAACACCGGGTTTGCGAAGAGCTTTTGTCCCGTTTAGTCCCTTTGTCCCCGGTATAATTCTACACGTTTTGTGTTGCATATTTGGTGCATTTAACCGGTTTGTTACGTGCCGTGCCTCGTAAACAACGGGTTTGCGAAGAGCTTTATTCCATTGACTCCGCTATGGTTTTGCACGTTTTGTGTGGTATAATTAGTTGCATTTCTGTACTCTGTTTATGYGCTGTGCCTCGCAAACAACGGGTTTGCAAAGGCTTGATTTGTCTTGACCCCTGTGTCATTTTTGCACGTATTGTGTTGCCTATTTGGTGCATTTCACTATTCGGTTTTCGAACAGCTTTATTCTTAACTATAATGTTCGCAGGTTTGKTGGCCCATAATTAGTTGCATTTGATTTGTACGCGTAAGGAATTGAAGCATTTTGTATACGTCAGTGGCGCAACATGCATACGTGCATTTCTTGGGCTCTCGGTCCTGTCCACAGTCAATTTAGGATGAGGATTGTGTGCCCTTTGGAGTGGCTCCCGATGTTGCAGTCGCCTATTTGCTATGCTGTTCAGTTCCATTTTAGCAACTCTATCTGACACTACGTTTACTCCTCACTGCGCTAGGATCTCTCCTATGGTTTGCCTGAAAGGGTGTCTAATCCCCTAGTCGGATTACTGACGCTCAGGCTGCCATCCTTTGGGTGGGTTTGCGCACTCCCGCGTTGCTTTTGTTCTCGTGCCTTTGAATTCCCGTATAATAATCCTCGTCCCTCATTCCACCTAAGGGCTGGAAGGCAACGTTGTTAGCTACACGAGCCTATGTTTCTTACCAGCAAGCCCTGGCATCTTCCTACAGAATGCGCTCACTCACTTTACAGCTACGTTTCAAAAGAATTTGCTGTCTTAGTTATGGCGTTTGGTTAGGGTTTGTTTAAGTATTGGAAGAAGGYGATCGAGGCGCTTGGTATTGGAATAAAACTAAAATCATGGGTGCGTGGTTGCATTTCTCCATCTCTTATTGAGCGAGCGTGAAAGGGACTGCCGCAAATAGTATGCTATTCGCGCCAGTCCCTTACAGAGAGAGTATAAATAAGAGCTCGAAATCCCATTCGGCCCAGTTCGCGAAATACTCCTAGGCGGTCAAGGTCATACCAATGGCTTTTTTCATAATTCATTCCCTTCCACGCTTGCTACCGCACGCTACCATGCTTGTATTTACCCTCCCACCAGTGCCCTAGTGGTTTATTCAACTTTCAATCCGTACAAGCGTGGTTGCATTTCTCCATCTCTTATTGAGCGAGCGTGAAAGGGACTGCCGCAAATAGTATGTTGCTCTCACACCTAAGGTTCGTGCTCCTAATGACCGTATTCCTTTCACTCTTACTTATCATCCTATTAACAGTTCTATTAAGCCTATTATTAATCGTAAATACTTCTTACTCACTTCTGAAACTAACACTTCTCACATCTTCAACGACCGACCCCTTTTTTCTAATAAACGTGACCGTAACCTTCGTTCTTTCCTAGTCAAAGGTGTTTTACATTCTAATAATGATCCTGGCACTTTTCGTTGCTCACGCAAGCGCTGTAACACTTGTCCGTACATCGTCTCGCACACTTCCATTGTTGGTCCTAACTCGTCACTCAAAATCACTGATCACTTTGATTGTACCACCTCTAATGTTGTCTATTGCATTAAATTAATTTATTCAGTTGCCAGTCCATCTCTTCCCACGTCCCTGCTTGGGCAAATTATCGATGATATAGCTCTCGGTTGCTGGAAAAGAAAAAAAATTGCAATTCCATATTGAGGGACTTCCACTTCGAAAAAGTAAACAAATCTACACCGGCGGACGCGACGATAGCTAAGAATATATCAGTGAAAATTTGTGAGTAAACGAGTAAACTGTAATTATAATGTATTTGTGTGTGAAAATAAACTTAATCTATGAGACAAGGAGCCAAAATCACCGTCTTTTTACCCGACAATTACTGAAAATGTGATGGATTTCCGTGTCATTTTACTCATATCGTGAGATAAGATATTTGAGAAAAGCGGTGCTATCAGATAGAGGGAGGCAACAGGCTGCAAGTTAACCAGTGAGACTTTTCCTATATTATACTTTGAGTAATTCTTCTACATAATCTGCGATGTAAAAGCCATATAAAAAACGAGTTATTAACCTCGCTTGCTCGATCTGTTCGGGAAAATATCAGACCTCGGTCTGATATTTTCCCGTACAGACCTCGCGCTCGGTTATAACCTATATATAGTTACTCTAAGCACTAAAGTATCTGAGTTCGATTCACTTTAACAAAACGCTCTCAATTAGATCAATTTATTTACTGACTTTCGGCCTGTGTCAGTACAACAGCATTACAAATATAGATATTTGAACGAAGATAAGATGCAAAGTAGGCGAAATGCAAATAACATGTAAAACTATACATGTACATTTTCCTTGTTCCATCATATTTTGCAACTTTTAAAGAAAACACACACTTCTAGCTAAATGCCGTTCAACTTTGTTGAATGGCAATGCTGACTGCGTTTGCGCAGGTTTAACACACTTTTAACACGTTTAATTCTATATTGTTGAATATTAAGGCTTTGAGTTCTTCTATAATAAAGAATTAAAGTGAATATTTTTATGTGTGTCAAAGGAAAACTAATAGACATCAAGACAGACAACAACAGTAAAATCCTGACATTTTAATTCTTTTTTCAGAGAAAAATGGCGACGGCTGTAATATTGAATCTTGCTGTTGTGACTGGATGTGCTTTGATCTGCTCCATCACGATTAGATGGGTACGAAATATCCTTTTTGTTGCATCTTACATTGGATTTGCTTCATATTGCATGGGCGGCATTGATGTGGTCTTTATAATCACTGAAATATCAAGGTTTGTTCCTACTGCCTGTGTTTTTGTCTACTTTGGCATTGGAAGGATTAGAAATAAGATATATATAACATTTATCAGGCTTGGTGTACTAATATTTTTTGTTTCATATTGCATGGGCATTATTGAGTATTCGAATCTGGTTGTTCCTACTTCTAATTGTTGTGTCTTAGTCTATTGCGTAATGGCTCAATGGGTACGAAATGTAGCCATAGTATTTATCAGTCTCGACAGTGCAATAGAATTGATAGCTGAACTGATCGGCAAGGAAAACAATGCTAACGTTGACGACCAATTAGCACAGCTATACATGATGCTGTATAGCTGTCATGAACTGAAACAATTCAATCAGGTTGTCATATACGCTAACAAATACCTAGACCTTGTAAAGGAAACAAATTGTTACGATGAACAGATGCTAGCGTATATTTTGTTGGTAAAGGCTCACGTGGCTCTTATGCAAAACGATCAAGCTATAGCAAATGGGAAGAAATGCATTTTCTTTTCAAAGGAAGCTCCATCTTATCCACTCGAAACGAATGGTATGCGAACAGTGTTTGTTTTAGCTGATCAATTGGATAATCCAGAAGAGATTGAACAAACAGTTTTTAATGGACAGAAATGCTTCCAAATCTCGGTCAATCCCAAATACGATAGTATATACGTCCAATTGTTTTTGCATTTGGGATCTGCATATTTACAGAGAACAGAGAACGAGAAGGCACTGTTTTATTCCAAACAGGTTCTTAACTGGGTTCACAAAGGGAAGAAAAATGAATCCACGGAAATTAGAAATAGTGTACCTACTGCACAAGACGACCAAGCATGCGAGTTTAATGCATTCTTCATCATTGGAATGGTATACCTAAATTGGTGTCAGTACGATAAAGCAAATGATTATTTTACGAGAGCTCGTACCATTGCCCAACACCTTCAAGAAAGTGAAGTTGTTATTATTTTGTCTGAGGTTATGACAGAACTTCATCAGGATGTTGGAATTTGCACATCAACTACTCATTCTGATGTCATTGGAATTATCAAGAACCTTGGCCATCAATTTGAAGTGTTTGATCAAATTGCTCATCTTGAGAAAGACGCGAAGAAAAATGTAATGAACGCACAATTTGACAATGCTCTTTCTTGCTATGAAAATATCGAAGTATTAGAAAGAAAATATTTTCATTCGTTTCACACGAATGCAAGCTTATGTGTAGCAAACATGAACATTCTTTTAAAGAGATTCGATACCGCTTTTCACCTTTATGAAGAAATCTTGGAAAACGCGAAAAGAAGTGGTCATAAGCTCATGGAAGCTGAATGTCATCACAGGATGGCCTTGATCCACGTTTTTCAAGGCAAACTTATACACGCTGAAACTAGTGCAAGTAAATCTGTTGAATGTTTCGATAGTTTGTTTGATTTACTGGAGAGTGAAGAATATAAAATTAGCATCGTTGATAATTACATTAGGTACTATCAGTTGCTTTTAGCCATACTGGTCATGGCCGGGCGAAACACTGAGGCCCTGGTGACAGCAGACAGTTATCGAGCACGTGTTCTCAATAGTCAGCTAATAATGAAATATCAAATGGTTCAGAATTTCCAACAAGAACAGCTCAAGTTTAGTGACATTCAGTCTTTGGTTTCCAATAACAATTATACAATTATTCAGTATTTAACAGTCGCGACTCGACTGAATGATATCGAGATTCCAGGCGTGAATTCACTAGCTTGCATATTTAAGGTGCCATGTGAGAATGAAGAAGAGCTTATGATCTTTGCACCGAACTTGTCTTTAAATGAGAGATCATTTGATGAAATGGGCGTTCGCACTGTAAAGTGTGAAAATAGATTAATGCTGGACATCAATAACGAAACTGCATATGATGGAAATGAAAACATAGAGCATGACTTTATTCCTCCCTTAGAAGACCAGCAGCCACCAGAAGCCGGTAACGAGAGTAGCTTTAACAGTGCGCTAGAATTTCTTTACAGCAAGCTGATCCAGGATGTAGTTTCTGACACAGAAACAGACGAGATTGTCTTCATTCCTGACGGTCCATTGTTTAAGGTACCGTTCGCAGCTCTACGAGATCCAGAGACAGGACTTTACTTGTCAGAAACCAATCGAATCAGGATTGCTCCTTCTATTTCTACCCTGAAGATATTGAACGATCGACCTGAAGATTTTGAGAGCAAAAACAGCGCACTAATTGTAGGAGATCCATCAGTTGGTAAAGTTATGTTTAATGGCGAAGAAAAAGAATTCCCTCCTTTGCTGTTCTCATACGTGGAGGCAGTTACAGTTTCCAGAGTTCTTGGTGGGCAAACACTCTTACGATATAGAGCGACCAAAGCTGCTGTCCTAGAGAGACTGAGAGAAGGAGTGTCAGTTGTACACATCGCTGCTCATGGARACGGCAAGAAAGGTACCATCGCCTTAGCACCCTCACCMAATGCATCMARGATTCCTGAAGAAGAMGACTACATGCTGACCATGGCTGAYGTGCAGAAGGCYAATGTGCGTGCAAAGTTGGTGGTGTTGAGCTGCTGTCACAGTGGGCGTGGTGAGATCAAWGCAGAGGGYGTGGTYGGMATGTGTCGTGCATTTMTAGCATCAGGAGYTCGTGCGGTGGTAGCATCTTTGTGGGGSATTGATGATGAAGCTACTCTTGAGTTCATGAAGGTGTTCTATGGTAATCTGAAGAAAAAGAAGAGTGCAAGTTTGAGTCTTCAACTGGCGATGAAACACATGATGAAACACAAGGAGTTTAGCGAACCAAAGTACTGGGCACCATTCTTTTTGATGGGTGATGATGTCACGATATTTTGAACTTTTTTGCACTTCATTTGTCGTGTGTGCTCAAAACTCGCATAGGTTTTACCGATTTTGTATGATTCGAACGACCRSTGTATACATATCATTATAATCGAATAAGGATGCTGTTATGTRGTTTTGCATATGAGGATCATACACTCAAAGTGATTCCTTAATGTACTTGCTCTTAGTAGCTGAAAAAATTGCACACTTATCTGTAAGCAAGACATTTCGTTTTTATGTATATTATAATATATCGCTCTTTAGATTTCTTACTCATAAATGCCAGTGATTCTATAGCTTTTGCCATAACAATATCGACCTCTTGAGTTTTACGTCAAAGCAGGTACGTGTGGGGACTTTCTGTGGGTATGTCTGGGGGACTTTTGCACACTATAGGGGGTAATTTACTTATTCGTGCGTTGGCATGGCTGTGAAATCACTGAAAACATTTGTAGATGATCATTAATGCCTATATTTGAGTTATACACCACTCACTGTTAGAACAAAGATTGTGATTTGATGAAATAACAAAGAGACAGCAGAACAATAGACATTGTCTGACATAATCCTACAATTYTTTTTGTTTTTTCGATCAATCACAAGCTTCGTTCAGACGGTAACGTAGGGCGACCCCTATATTTTCTATTAGTAAGATTGTAAAAGTTACTTTTGTGTTTAAGTACATAAATAATGACATGCAATAGTACGTAGCTAAAAGATGCATGCGCGAGGGCGGTTTTATTAACCCCAGGGGCTGATCCAGCTGGTSGGTGCAGGGGGGTGCGCACSCTCTCCTGAGATCTATTTCTTTCAATACTTTCCTTAAGTTGTATCTTCATGGTAATGATTTTTGTGGGGTGCATCCCYCTCCTGAGAGGCCCTCATCCCTCCCTGAGGAAAAATCCTGGATCCGCCCCTGAACCCGTGAAACAAAGCGTAATAGTCATGAAAGCTAAGTGTACTGAGTGATACACTGAAAAGTGCAGAAAAAAGTATAGTATATGCCTAGCCTCCTCCACAGGCCTACCTTTGCTTTTTTAATAAGAATAACAGAAACCCTCGTGAATAGCTGGGAACTGGAAAAGCGAGATGCCTTCTGAGGAGGCTACAGTACGCCAAAAAAAAAAAAAGCTGTAATGTAACGTTAGTTTTAGGATCACTCTATTTTTCTCATAAAACAGTTAATTTTAACTGCTGAATAAAGTTTGTTGATGTGGTCTCCTGTGTATTTGTCATGTCTTCGTGTCTTGTTTACTGACAACGACTATCAGTAGTAAAATGAAGAGGCTTCAATGAAGACCATGGAAATTCTATCTACATTATATGTATATCAATTATATATTATCAATTAATTATTAATTCATTATATTTTCCAATAAAATTGAGACCAAAATACCAAAATACTTTATTAAACAAAGACGTATTATTATTATTTTTAACTTATTTTCGCTGCAACAAAATTCCCGTTGCTATTTTTTCTCTATCAGCTGYCTTYCATAGAAATAAATCATTAAATTGTCTRTTTGATTGACAGCTGTCAATTAAATTACTTTGTCAACATGACTTTGTCAGCAATAACACCATCCTTATTACGAATCCATTCCCATAAYAACTTATTCTTGTCGAATACGGTGATACGCCCATAGCCATAGTCAATCTCTCTGTACATCGACCAATCCATGTCCATATAKGGAGGGTAGTCGATCTCTTTACCAGCTGTACCAACAATGATGTGCGTTGTGGCACCTTTCRTGCATCTGCCTTTCAGGACTGCGCATGTCCGTTCATAGCTGTGATAGTGAGCCCACAGACCAAGGTCAACTTTGTATTTGTAGATCATATCTTCCATGAAGTGCTGCATTGCTCTTGCTAACATATAGTCCCCTGGTATAGAATGTTGAAATTAAGATGAGGAATTAGGGATGCATGGGAAAAGGAAGAAGGGAGAAAAGTAATAATGGATGAGATGAAAGGAAGGGATATATTATCTATTAGAGAAAAAGAAGTATGAAGCAATAGGTAAAATAATGTGGAGGAGATGGAAGGAAAGAATACCCATCAATGGAGACGAAACTTGTATATAAGTGAGTGCTGAACTGAAAGCCTTGGGAAAACCAGAGTGAATTAGACGATTTGTCCTATGCATATTAGAAATGAAATAAAAGGAAATTAGGAAGGGAAATTGTACGCCAAAAACAAACGTCTGAAAATTTCTAGCATCAAACTATGTAAGATTTTTTGAACAAATGACTGTGGTAGACATAATGGATGTATTCTATAGATTTTGTACTTTTGAAAAGCCAAAAATAGCAAGGGGAAACAGGGTGTGAATAAACAATATAAGAAAAGCAAGACCTACATATGAATTTCTGACTTGAATACATTGGCCTGTGACCGGCTATCATCACCCATGGTGTAATGCTCCTGTTAACACTACGCAAGTCATTTTCAATCCATTTGTACTGTGGAGATGTTGGCTCAAAATCATGTTCTGTACTCATCATTATGATATGAACACTACCGTAATTGAAGCTGTACCTAAAAAAAACATGAAGAATTATCCTGTAAATTCTATTATCATAACACTTTTGACATTTTGAAAAAAAAAATATTCAAAGAAGCACTCTTTTTTCTTGTGTATTTATCTATTTTATAAACTTATGCTGAAACACAGATTTTGTTCTACAAGGATGGGTCTGGTGAAAATCGGACAAACTGTACCTTCCGATATGGCCTTTGAGGCACAATTAACATATATAGGAAAACAAAGCGGCAATAAGATTAAGATGTCAAACTTTTGAGACTTGTATGTTGAGCACTTGAAGGGTAGGGGAAACATGCTCCAAAACAGCATTGATAAGATGACCACAAAAATCAATTTTGGCAATTTGATTCTAAGTCGATTGATAGACAAAAGCTCTGGCAGGGTAATCAGCAACAATATTTTTGTTTTGTACTTACCACCAAAGACTGTGTCCATTATCAGGCATGTGGAAGCGATAGTACATAGGAACACCACATTCCCCCCCTGAATCAGTATGAAACATCTCATGTGCATACCAGGGATGAAAGCCTTCTCCAGGGGCACCACTTGGGTCTTTCTCACCRCCATGGTCATGGTCATATTCATGGTTACCTATGTTGACCATATATGGTATCCTTGTAGCATAGGGCTCAATGTAGGCTGCCCACTGGTCCCATATGTAGGCCTGATAAAAAACAGAAGATACAGCTTATTTACATAAACTATCAATATCTACAGCTTACCGTAACTTTCAAACTAAGTCTACTTTGTTCTAGTTCTCAGGTGTCCAGGAGCAAAGCTTAGGAGCCCCACTCATGAACACTTATCACAAAATTGAGCCATACACAATTCTTTTAATATTGTTATTGAATGGTCATTAGGAATTGACTGAAGACGAACCTTCAGGAAAACAAAATAATTATTTATTATATAATATTATATAATTCTTTGGTGCATGGTTACTGAACTTTAGTTAAATATCAAATGCAGGCTACTGTAGGTTCTGATGCAGGACATGATACAAGGAAAAAAATCACTGTGAATAAAATAAGAATCATAAATTCTTATTATTAGGCTTTGCCACATACATAGCCCCTGGCATAAGATATATCTCCAATGTGTACAACAAATGATGCATTATTATTGTTGACTTCGTCCATGCAATGCTTTGCTGTTGATTCAGCACGTGGACTGGGGGACACACCCATGTCTCCATACACCAGAAACTTGAATGATTCATCAGCATTTGGTATGGGTGCAGTTTTRAATGTTTTCATCTTGCTCATTCCCTGTAGGATGAATACAAACAGTACTAATTTACATAAACATTAACTTCAATAATACCATGATCACCTCGGATTCTTCTTACAAGCGAACATCCCTCCCTCATGAATAGCATGAGGGACAATTACTAGTAATTGTCCCTCATGCATAATAACATGAGGGACGATTAGAATAATCGTCCCTCATGTTATTCGTGAGGAACGGAAGGCAAAGGAAACCTTTGCTTCCCAGTAGGGACAACTGAATGTCCCTACAGCTGTCTTCTTTTTACCTCTGCACTGAACAGTCTTCTTATCGTCTCAGTCACACTGAAATGTGGGATGATTTTTGGCCAAATTGACCGAGTAGCTCTGGTTCCGAGTCTCTAGTTCGTACCACTAAGCATGTGCACTTGACAAATTTCAATGTTTGATAATAGTTTATAGGCTTCTTGGCATTATACTTGCAAATATAAAAACAACTTTTCAGAGTTGAAGTTAAGGTTCGTTAACCTCAGCATTGAGGTTAATATCATTTTGTACTGTTGTTCTGTGAAAACCTTTTCAATGACACAATAAAGTACTTGGTACTCTTAGAACAGTGCGTATCCATTCTTGTTCATGTCACATTCCAATTCATGCGTGAAGCAGGCGTTTGTTGCAATGTTTTTATTACTTCTGTTTAAAAACATTTAAGCATGCAAAAAAAAAACAAGAAATCAAATTCGCTCAAGTTCAACTTCATTTTTTCCCTCGGAAATCATGGTATTACAAAGTAATAGCATGGCTTCATCGGGAGATTAGGGATTTAATGCCCCTCGGCCTCGGGCAGATAAGTAAAAGTATCTTCCCTCAGCTTTGGGGACATTTAATCCCTAATCTCCCTCAGAGCCATGCTATTACTTATAATAAAATACCCGGAAATTTCGACCAGGAAACGCAAAAAAAGGTATATCTTTCACATGTTAAATAACATGTTACCATGGATACCTATTATAATCATTGCAGAATATGATGACATCAGTTATAACAACATTGTAGGAGTGTGTGTGTGTGTGAGCAAAGGGGGGGTTGTAGGGCGGGGTGGGGTTAGGGTTAGGGAGGTTCATGTGGGGAGATGAGAGAGTTGCACATTGATATATTGCACTAGTAAAACATCAAACTTTGATGGTGTCAAAWTATGAAGCTCAGTTTCAGAAAGTACAACCAAATTTTCAGTTCAAAATAACAGATTTTGGTGACATAATCAGGCTGTATTAATGACTTACAGACTTACCAGATTGGACCCATACTGATAATAATATGTTGTGGATGGTTTCAAGTCTGTTAACAGGACCTCATGTATGAAGCCTGGATCCCAAAACCCAAATGTAGTATTAGCAGGKCCATTGCACATGTCACTGGCCTTGTAGGTCTTGAATGTTCCAGTTTTGTTCTTGAATCCTCCATCAGCTTTGTTGGTGTAGTAGACAATAGGTTCAATATCTAAAGCACAACAGAAGTCTTAAAACAGCCATTGTATGAATGATTACAAATCAATTGAAAGAAGAGAACTCCCTCCCATTTACCTTTTACCCCCCCTCCCTCCCCTCCCACCTGAAATAAAACCTACCAAGACTTTATGTGCCAAAATGATATCTGTTTGTATTTATTTGAGTRGAGTCTATCGTACATATTCACAATGGTTATTGTCATGTGCATGTAGAAGTTTTGCATGTCCCTATAGAATGCTGATTCATGAATGCCTTTGCATAAATATCACGAAAAAATCAGGCTCATTAAAAAAAATTATTTTACTGTTAAGTTAAAAAAAATTGGTAAAATTCTTAAAGTTCTTCTTCACATAATGTGGACATGAGAGCCTTCTATATGCAGATCAGTGCTGTGTGCATGCACAACCATATATGGAAGTTGTAAAACAGTTCACTCTCATTTTTTTCCCRTCATCACCAACGTTGCATTAAATGTCATTGCAACTAGATTTCATAGGATTTTGAAATTCTGAGGATGCATCAACAAAGAAGTGGGAAATTACTTTGATCATCAAGTAAGTAGTGCTCATATAGTGACTTATTTTTGAGAACTGATGTGCAAGTTGCAATCTGCACATGCATGTCTAGTTAAGTTTCATTTTGTACCATTAGAACATCCTATGCACACACACTTCACTTACTTGCGCCAGAAACCCACATGACCCTCATCTCACTTGGGTTACTTGTAAGAGCTAGATGACCCTGCAAAGGCTCTTCAGGACCTCCATTAAATCTGATAATATTGCTTATCGTTACTAAAACTGTACCAGGTCTATAATATCTGAATTGACAATCTGAACGCATATTGTAGAGAGAAACTTGGAATGAACCGTATCCCATTTTGTAAGTGGGGTAGTCTTTCACGTTAATATAATCGAGATACTTGGCTGGCTTTTCATCTGTAGGGCAGTATAGAACTATGGCATCCTTTTCATTTGGTGTTTTTATTCCTGACCAAGACACTGTCACCAATTCACCATTATCAATTAAAGATGGGGAGACTTTTAAAACCGCTTGAGGCTGGGATATTTTCGTGGAAACTTTTCGAGCGTCATTCAGAAATTTCAGTCGCGTGTCGGGATGATTTTGATCTACAAGACTCCCATTGGAATGGCGGCGGACAAAATATGTAGCCACACCAGAATACGGCTTAGAGAAGACAYAAGACAAACCAACCAACCAAATGAACACCGTCACAAAATGTCTTTCATCTCTCATTTTGTAGAGAAAATAGTGGAGTTTCACTCAATCCGATCCTCTCTCTTTGGTTAATATTAAAAATATGACTAGTCTTGCCTTTCCAGCTTAACARGGAGTAAGCTTGGAACTTTAAGGCTTTTACTAGAATGAAGATTTCTTACAACAGTATTGACGGCTGTTAGTATCCAGATTTTGAAAGTTCTTGTCCTGTCCTGTCTGCTATTTTGTTTCTGGCGTGACTTCAGTCATATGACATTCTCTTACACAGGAATCCCGAGTTATCGTGTTMAGGTAACATTATAAACACGGCTGTAACACTTCTAATACATGGAATTTTGCATGCAAAGCTCCAGAAAGCTCTGTGAAAAGCTGAAAAAATTGATTGCTAGAATTATGATTTAAAATTTCTTTAAATTATKTCTAATAACAATAGATTAATTTCATAAACATGGATATTCTAACATTAAAAATAATTGATCYAAAACCACAAATATTTATTATTATTAGTGTATCATATAGGATGCGAATCTTTCCAAAATCTCACAATTTATTTTCTCACAATTTATTTTTCGATAAGCAAGTTGTGTTTGATGTCTTGCAAAACCGGTTCGATAAACAGGATTTACACGTTGGAAACCAGTCTTAGTGACAAGGCGCGTGCGCAATAAGGCAGCCAAAGGAAGGTTTATCGATGTCCTTCTTCAAGAATCTSYTGAGAAAAGGCCGAAAACTTCCAAGGACSAAGCAAAGCGATCGCTCAGGATCGATGAAAGATCGAAAAATGGATGCTGAAGCACTAGATGCTGAATTTGGGAAATTTCTTTCGGGTGTTGTCGAAGGTTAGAGTGRATTTTATCGAGTTTATCTTTGYGAAATTACCAAAATGGCGGAATGTAAAATGTGGACGAAAAGTATCTTCCTCCCTTTAGATCCTTCTTAAGTTCAGTTGTTTATTTKTAGGTTTTTATGGAAGACCTTGGACGTTTGAACAAAGAAAAGAATTATTTTTAAGGTATAGATTTAAGTATTATTCAATTTGAGAAATGCTAATTTTTATAAGCTATTCTACTAGTGATCGTATAAAGTCAATTTCCTCAATAATTTTTTATTAATTTCTATTTATTGTGAACTTAAAATGACATTTTGAAAACGAATAATGGTTTCAGCAATAATTCTCATAAAAAATCATTCAAACAATCTTCAGTTTAGGAAGACATTGATCGAGGTCGAGGTACAGGGGGATTTGAACATGAAGCTGTGTACCTGTACAGTTGACCCGCAACGAAAATTATTTTTGACTGACAAGACAATATTTCATTATTATTCAAAAGCAAATGGTGACCATCGGGGGTTTTGTCGTAAAGTTTTTTTTTTTGTTTTTCATTGTAAAAAATACACAAAATATTAATGAAAGGCATATAATTTGTAAGAATTATTTTATATCTATTATTTGTTTCTACTAAATTTAAGGAAACTGATTATTGTTTTCCAGCAGTTTACAAAACATTGTGAAAGCCGTGATCAAAAAGACTTAATTTAGTTTTAGCTAATTTATTTTAGGGCATAAAAATTGTCTWCTTTCAAAGTTGTAAAATATGTCCTATGCAATCATCAGGCACATAATAAAAAAAGGTTTTTTTTTGATAATTCAACTAAATCTTTCACAAAAGAAATGGTGAATGAGAAAAGAGAAAGTATAATGTGCATGAACGGAAATGAAAGAGAAATTATAAAAGTATACTATATGTCAATTTTTTAAATCACTATTTTTCATCAGTTTTTTACTGTGGCTTGTAAAAAGGTGGCTTATCCAGATATYTAAAGCTTGGTGCTAGGAAGTATTATCAGTATTTTAACATTAATTGTTATTATGATAGATTGAAGTCCCTGGGGATGAATACATACTTGTATGCCCCAAAAGATGATCTWAAGCACAGAGCTTTATGGAGAGATCCCTACAACAAGGAAGAATCAGGTTAGTTGTTTYTAATAAAATAATGATATCCTGGCTTGTAACCACAATGGCAGTTATGATTTTGTGACTATTGGCTGTTATAAATAAAATTATAAACAAAGTCAATGGATTAGCATTAATCACCTTTGTGAATAACATGAAATTGTTGTTCTTATATCAAGGGATGCTTAGATCCCCTTACACAACTGCGGTATTGATTGTTTCTACAACATTCATTATAGCATTTGCCTCAGCTAGTTTTTGACAAAGTAAGGAAAACCAGTATATTCTTTGAACAACTCTCAGAATATGGGAGAAAACCAGCATAGAAAACCAAATCAGATGTGATTGGGCCATTTGCTCCATGCCCTAATTAATATTCTATAACTACCAGATTTGGAGATTAGTAAAATACTGTATTGGCAAATTACATTGCAAAGTTAAGTGGGCAAAGCATTCTTGTAGTTTTAGTATATGATTTCACATGGCCTATTTAAACGGAGCTTTTAGACCTGAGACAGCCCTTGATCTTATCATGGTGGTTACTATCCTTAACTCATGATTCTAATAATTATTGTTTGTTTTTGTAGATAACCTAAAGCAGCTTATTGACTGTGCCAAGCAACACGATATTATGTTTTATTATGCATTATCTCCTGGACTGGATATGGTATTTTCCAACCCAAAGGAAGTAGCATTACTAAGAAAGAAAATGGAACAGGTTAGCTTACTTTTGTTACGATATTATGAAATATTAAAGACTTAAATGAAGCTCAWGTTGATGTCATAAAGCATCTCTTATCTATCATAAAAAGGATTTAGCAGGCTTAACTCAGTACSCCTTTGCAGCTTTCAGGTGAAAATTTGCATTTTATTGTCTATAACAGCACACTTGTTTATTCCAGATGCAAAGCCTTGGCTGTGATGCATTTGCATTGTTATTTGATGACATYGACCCAGCCCTAAAGGCTCCTGATGAAGAAGTCTTTGACTCATTTGCTGCAGCTCAAGTACAAGTCACTAATGAAGTCTTTCATGCATTGAATAAACCCAAATTCATGTTTTGCCCAACAGGTAAAGCAAAATATGATTTGAAATACCAAAGACCAAAAACTCAATTTGGTCTTAGCTCAATCTCACACCCCTCCTAAATAAATTAAGTCTATTATTTTGTGAGGGTAGCACGTAATAGTCTCTAGACTAATAAACTTGTGGCCCTCTATATATTCACTCACACTCACTACCTCAACATTCATTATTTTACTACACAACACTGCTYACAGCTAGTTTTTGACTGAGGGAGGAAAACCAGCGGGCCTGGAGAAAAACCCTCGGAGCAAGGAAGAGAACCAGCCTACAAACTCAAATCACATATAGTCCCGGACCGGGAATTGATCCTTGCTCCTCAGTTCACTAAGGGACTTGATTATTGAAGGCCCTGGCTGGAGGTGATAGCAGAAGCTCTGGCACAGGCATGATGGTGGTGCATGGGAATAGCCAACTTTAGATATTTTGGTTCAGTAACAAGCACAAAAGAATTGTACACRTATAAAAGGCTCTTGGGAAATAAAACATTAAGATTATCCATGTTTTCCCAAAGCCTTCTTTGTATTCTTTTGTACATTGTTATATTCAACCAAAATACTTTAAGTCGACTATTTTTCAACCATTCAAATTAAATACTTATTGCTTTTCAACTGAAGCCTTTGATTTTATGATGGGAAGCTGAGAAGGAGATGTATATTAATGATTAGACCTTTTTTGATTGTAGCAATGATGATTGAATTATTTACTAATATTTATTAATGTGATTACAATCATATACGCTATCCTGAGCTACAAACATAACTTATTCCTAAAACTCTTTACAAATTACCGATATATGCTGACAGATGTTATCCAACATTTTAGAATATTGTGCTACACGTGCCGTTCCTAATGTTGAAAACTCAGAGTATCTTCGCACCCTGGGCAATAATCTTGATTGTGAGATTGATATTCTTTGGACAGGTAATTAGCTCAACTATTTTGCATTGTTTTATAATATTATTTTATGATAAGGGATAATATGTAGGAGCAAACCATGGTAAACATTCAGCCATTGGCTTTCATTGGATTAAATTTAGTTTTTTTGGGGGGAGGGGTGGCATAGGGTGAATTTGTTTTCAAGTTTTTGCACTGGAAGTGATATAACACACTGACTGTTTTGGTTTTCATTTGTGTGTGTGTTGATTCTTTTCAACATTTCATTAAATGTCTCTTTTGTATCTTCTTGGTGTGTAAAAACGGTGTGATGATGATTGATTGTTGCTGCAAAGTTTCAAATTTCAAAACTGCATTGTAACTTTCTTGGAATCAACAGAGGATAAATGAAAGACTGATTGCAACATTGGTTTATGATAGCCTCCTCCCCCACAGGCAACTCTTTTTCCTTCTTTGGGCTTCCTTTGTATCAGGAAAAAGRCAGGAAGCCCATGACTCTTAGTRATGCCTRTGGAGGAGGCTACATTGTAGGTTTATACATGATTTGCTGATTGATGGCTGTCACATGGTATTGTTCATGCTAAAGCAACATTGAGACACTTTGTTTTTAAGTTGAAAAATGCATCATTGGCAAAGTTGTTGAATCAAATTGTTTTAGACTCTTTATATGGGAGAGTAGATATCCTTTATTGTGATTAAGCCAAAAAGTCTTAAAGAAAAAAATCAAATGGCATACAGTATCATTCAGTAACTTTGTTGCACATGTATTCTTCAACTMRAAAACCTTGATAGGAAAAGCCTTCTTAAGTCTTCCAACTTATTCCAAAAAAAGACATTGGCAAACTATTACAACTATTGTACTTGTATTGTTTATTTATTTTTTTGATYTTATTTGATTTTAAGCAGAAGGCTTTTTCAAACATGCCTGYTKGTGTAGAATGATAACAATCATGTGACATGACGGGGTCAGTGAATTTATCACACCAAGATCATACTACATGGGTTTATAATTTCACATCACATACATAGTATATGCTTGGGTTCTGTTGTGCTTACCTCAGTTGAGAGAAAATATACAGTGTACAAATAGTGTTCAGAGTATAGTGGTACTTGTGGGACCACCAATTAAGTAGACACCCTCTATTACATATAGCCATAATACATTGCTTCAATATTTATTTGMCCTGGATTTGCTGGCCATTCTCGATTTAGTAGTGTCTTTGGAAATGTCCTAAGGGTGACTGCTTAATAAAGGTACCGCTATACCTGAAAACTAGAGAGGTTGATATGAAATGTTTGATGACCGTCGGAAGGAAATGATTACAAAAAACAGGAAATTTCTTGGTAATTTAATCAAGAAATGGATAGAAAAAATAAAAATAAAGAGAGGAGGAAGAAAGCTAACAAATACCATGAAAGACAGGAGATTTTGGCTCAAATTGAATGCTGGAGGTTCAAACATTATTTTCTGGTGCAGTGTATGAGTGAATATACTAACAGTAATGGCACTGCATTKAAACTTTTTGTACCTCAGTCTATATTGCATATTAATGACCTGCTGATTGACCAATCATAGTGCATGTTATAATGGAATTAATGGATGGTAYCTCCCCTGTGTTGTGTTTTTATAATTTTATGTCGACATACTACTGTTCCATTTAGCAGTGTTGGATGATGGATCCCAGTGCACTTCACATGATCTTTTGAAGTGAAGGTACAGTTGCAGAGTAGTTTTTTCTTTCCAGCCAGCTGCCTTCTAGGATAGCTTTCACTGGTCTTATGAAACCTCTATGATCTGTGATCCTAGGGGTTTCAGCCATAAATCTGACTCTTAGGATTAGTGCTTAAGTCCACTCTTTTGATAACATGAACAAGTTGACTATAGTGTATGTTGTTAATGTGTTCATTGGAAGGTGAGAATTAGCTAGAAGAATTCGACTATATTTACAATAGATGGAAGAGGAATTGACTATTACAAAATATTATAATATTATTATAAAAGATAAAATATTTTTTTGAGAAAAAATCAAAACATAATTTTATGAGATGTTTATTTTCCATCTTGGAAATTAAAAAATAAAAATAAAATAAAATCAGTTAAAGAAGATTGATTAATTTCGTGGTGAAGTTGAGGTTTGTCCGGCCAATTTTGTCTGCTCAATTTATAATCTATGAAATGTCTTGTGGCTTGTTTTTAGTATGAAATATTAATTTCAATTGGCTTCTTCATTATTTTTTT